GGGTGTTATGCTGAGCGAAATAAGTCAGGCAGAGAAGGACAAATATCATATGTTTGCACGTATAGGAGGATTAGGAGGAACTTAACTGAGGAATGAGGGGGAGAAGAAGGGGGAAATGGTGGGGGAAAGGGAGAGAGGCAAACCATGAGAGACTCCTGAATGCTGACAAAAACTGAGGACTGATGGATGTGGGGGGGAGGGGGGAGGGGCATGGAGGAGGACACTTGTGGGGATGAGCACTGGGTGTTATGTGGAAACTAATTTGACAATAAACTATTTGTAAAAAAAAAAAAAGAATAAAAGGTCCAGGTTTTGAAAGGTTCTGTATGACATGTTTGTTATCTTCTTAAAAATGACATTTTTAGTGGGGAACAGAAGAGACATGATTTGGTTTGAGCAACATTTGAAAAATAAATAATGTAATTAATTTCTTACATCTTAATTTTCAAGACTATATAAAATAAATTAACAGGATATTTAAGTGTAATTACTTTATTTTGTTTTATTCCTCAGGATGTGATCTTCGTGGTGGGAAGCTCAGTTTCTAAACTACCCCAATGGATGCAGACAGTGATGTTGCATTGGACATTCTAATTACAAATGTAGTCTGTGTTTTTAGAACAAGATGCCATTTGAACTTAAGGAAGATTGCTTTGGAGGGAGCAAATGTAATTTATAAGCGTGATGTTGGAGTAAGTATCTAAATTTTGATGTGTGTGCTACATAGATTGGTTTTATAGTGCTATAAATGATACACTAAAATATATTCACTCTGCAGATGGTTTATGAGTACCTTACCATGTGCTGGTTGTACTGAATACAGTACGGAGCCCCGTAGAAGGCCTCTCCCACGAAGTGCCAGCTTGTGCATATACATATCTCCAGGTCTTAGCAAAGAACTCACAAGCTACTAAACAAAATTATTCTCTTAATTTCTTTGAACTGAAGAAGGGAATATTTGTACAGTGGTCTGTATTTATTCAAGTATAATTTTTTGCTTACGTGAACGATGCATTATATGAAGTCCTTATATATATATACGTTGTGACTTTTGTAGTCTGTTGTCATACCCCTCTTTATTTAGGTAAAATAAAAATAGTTGGTATTCTTAGTAACAAATTGCTGAAAATAATATGGTTCATATCCTAACCTGGACACTTTAAATTTTAGTTTTTGTTAGACCTATATTATTTAAAATAAAAGCATTGATAAATTGCCCTTAACTTTATTGAGATTAACAGAAGTGACAATACATGTTCATTGGTTTTTATAAACCAAATGATGTTGAGATACGTATCTTATATTATTATGAAAATTATGAATGTAAATGAAGGCTCTAAGCTCTAAAAATTAGGTGCAGTATGCCTCAGTAAATTATCATTAGTTCTTAGTACTACAAACTAAGTTAAGGGGAATTAAATTAAAAATTAATAGTGAGCCATAATTAAGATTTTCAAGTTCATCAGCAATGCCATTGTCACCTAAATAAAGGAATGAATATATCTGCTAAAAAAGTGTAGAGAGTAAAAGGCCTAACGCTGTTTTGGAACTTGTGCACACCATGGGCCAAGGAGGTCATTCTCCCTGGGAAGACGGCTGAGAAGGTTAAGCAGATGGATAAGCTGGTGGTGAAGGACGTTTAAATGCAGAATAAACTCAGTTTCATGTTTCTCCGCCACTTGTGTATGAAATTTTATACTGTCTTTTAGTTTAAATTTTATTTCGACTCTTTCGTAAATTTTATCCTTTCCGATTTAATAGCTTTGATAACAGTTGGAGAATATGACATATGACAGAGGAAGGGCAAAACTCAAAATGTAACAAAAGTTTGAAGGAGAAATGTCTGATTCTTATGCTATTGTATGCAGTAAACATTTCTCTTACGGACAATGAACATATAATTAATATTTCCATAAGTGAAAAATTACAATGAAAATTTAAATTCATTGTTCTCTTGGACCTTAGTGCCTGACCAATTTATGCTCATTCTGTAGATAATTTCTTTCAAACCCACAGCTTTTTTAAATGCCTTTCATATCTGAGGAATCTAAAATTACATGTCTAGCTCCACCATTTTTCCTGCATTCAAGATTTGTATATTGAACTTGAACTTGTAGTAGGCATCTCAACTGTGAGATACAATCTAAAGTAGCGATGAATACCGAGAAGCAGCATAAAGCAAGGTAGGAGGCAGGGAACAGCAGAGGGATGTGTGCTTTGATGGAGTGGTCGGGGAAGGCCTTTCTGTCTGACACCTGGTGAGAGACTTGACTGAAGTGAGAATATTGAGGGAAGAATATTCTGGATGAAAGTAACAATTACTGCAAAACCCCTGAGGTGTGAACAGGTTTGGCATGTTGTAGTGGAGTGCAAATGTGGAGTGCGAATTGCAAATTCCAGTTATGTGACCAGGGTTGAATGAGAGTTGGAAAGTGTACAGACTTGTAGTACATTGATTTCAAGTATACAGTAAGAGATTCATGCAGAGCTTGTATTTTTAATTAGTTAAATGTCCTTTTGGATTAATATGTTCTTTGTATTCAGTATGGAACTTGATTTCAGAATGAATGATTTGGAGAACATTTATTTATTTCAGTCTCGGGTAAGCATCAAGCAGTAGTTAAACTTTTATTAAAATGTCCACAGAGAGCAGAACCGTAAGTGAAAATTAATATTTAATGTGTAATCAGCTTTTTGTGTTTTTTTTGTTTTGTTTTTTTTTTGCAGAAAGTATTAATGAAGCTTAGAAAACCTAGAATCACAGCTACGATTTGGTCCTCAGGAAAAATTATTTGCACTGGAGCAACAAGGTAAATTTACTTGGATTTTTAATGTTTCCTTTGTGGGAAGGACATTTTCCTAGTTAAAATCATGTGTGTAGTTTGTCATGTCTGTCTGTATAAAATTTATTTCCTGTGTAACTGACAATCTTTTCGTCTCCTTAAAACCATAGTGAAGAAGAAGCAAAATTTGGAGCCAGACGTTTAGCCCGCAGCCTGCAGAAACTAGGTTTTCAGGTAACGTTTTCAAAAAACATCCAAACTGCAAATATTAAAGGAATTAGTTTATAAAGTTAATTTTTTTAATTTAACAGACTGAAGAAATCATGCAAAACTGTTTTTTACTGTCCTTCAGTACGAAAACTTTGTAGTGAACTCACGCATGTGCGTACGTGGAAGGTTCCTGGCTTTGTCCCTGCCCCTTTCTCATAGTCTTGTTACCTCACGAGTGACCTGCCTGTTCAGCTCTTCAGGTGGTTCGCTTCTCACACACACACAAAACCATGTTTTTGATGATCTCAGAAGTGCTTTGTCAGGATGAAGAATAGGGAGTAGGGCCCTGTGTTTAAAAAGTGGAAGCACATTTGTTTTTATTTATAGATAGCTATCACATAAATTATAAAGAAGAAAAAATATATTAGAATGAAACTTGCATAGATCTATGCATTTCATGGCTAAGGGTAAGCAGGTTATGGTTAGTGAGAACATTACCATTATAACAGGGAATTATTATTTAAAAATATGCAGAACTTACTGAATCTGTGCTTTAGACATAACTGTATTTGCTGTTGTAAGTTGAAAACATTTCACATGAATAACTAATACTGAGTATACACCTGTGTATAAGAACTCAGAAAAGCCTGCATTCTGTAAAATCAATCAGCTGTATTAAAAATGACGTGAATCCTGGGGCACCTGCGTGGCTTAGTTGGTTAAGCATGTGGCTCTTGATTTCGGCTCAGCTCATGACCTTGTGGTTTGTGAGTTTGAGCCCTGCATCGTGCTCTCTGCTGTCAGTGCAGAGCCCGCTTCAGATCCTCTGCCTCCCTCTCTCTCTCTCTCTCTCTGCCCCTCCCCCACTTGCATGCTCTCAAAAATAATTTTTTTTTTAAAAACTAACATAAATCCAAAACAAAATGCACGTTGTATAGAAAGGGACATTGTATGATTGGCTTGCTGTGTTAAATCCATGGTTTAGTCCACAAAAAGTAAACGCTGGTTGGCGGGCTCTTACTTGTAAAGTGACCATCGCTGGTATGTTAACTTTATCAAATATCATTTTATGGAGGCATAAATTTGGTAAAATTAGTATGTAGTATGGACTTGTTATGTCACTTGCAAATGATGAGTAAATGAAAGAAAAATAAGATGGGTTGAAGGGATGGGCCCGAGCTGTATGGAATTCGAATGAGCAGTGAGTAGTGGGAAGTCGAGTTTCTCTCTGTCCTCCTCAGTCTTCTCTGAGGTGGAAGGTTCTAGAAAAGCACCGAAGTACTGGTGATGAGAGAAGGGGAGGATTGGTGCTTAAGGAAAGTGGTGATATTGAGAGACTTGACTGATGGCAGTGCCACTTTGGACAGTGCAGTGACTTTCATCAGCTGCCTCGTGCAAGTACTCAGATGGAAAATAGTTAACTCAGAATTGTAGTTTTACTGGGAACGTTTCAAAAGATAATAAGATACAACCATTCAAGTTATTGGCAGTAGTGACTGAAGTTACTTTTTAGCCTTGGAGTTTGTCTTAGCTTAATATTAGAAGTGTTGAGACAAATCTCAGTTTAAAGCATCATTTTCTCACTCTACCACCACCACCCCCCCAAAAGAAAATATCTAACTAAACTCACAGAAATACCTTTTTACCTTACTGCCTATAAGAAAAAGTCTGACCCTTTGGAGCTCAGTGTATACTCAGTATTTATTTATTTAAGTGGCAACTTCCATTTTGACTCTTGAGAAGGAGAACTCTGCTCTAATTTTTTAAATCACTATTCTTTCTCCTATCCCAGTAGTTTAAATATCCCACTTAAAGTTTAAAGAAATAAAACATAAGATTCAAAAGACCCAGATGTTTTAATCATGCAAATATCTTGGGTTTTATTTACCTTTTTGATGAAGTTTTTGACCTTTTTCTTTAATTACAGTTGACCCTTGAACAACACAGGTTTGAACTGTGCAGATCCACTTACATACAGATATTTTTTGATAAATATCGTACAGTGCTATAAATGGACTTTCTCTTTCTTATGATTTTCTTAATAACATTTTCTTTTCTCTAGTTTTATTGTAAGAATACAGTATATAATATGTATACAAAATATGTGTTAATCAACTATTTATGTTATGGGTAAGGCTTCCAGTCAGTAGTAGGCTATTTATGAGTAGTTTTTGGGGGGTCAGAAGTTATTCGTGGACTTTTGACTGGCAGAGGGCACTAATCCCTGTGTGGTTCAAGGGTCACCTGTAATGGTAGTAAGAAGTCACTGATAATTAAAATACTACATATCAGTTCTTCATATGTTGTTCTTTCTTGTTTGCGTTTATTTTTAAGGAAACAGTTATTTATAGTTGCCCTGATGTACAATTTTTTTCTGATGAGCAATTTTTTTGTTTCAAAATAATTCATTGAGTTGTGCTTCTCTCCTGAAGGTAATATTTACAGATTTTAAGGTCGTTAATGTTTTGGCAGTGTGTAATATGCCCTTTGAAATCCGTTTGCCAGAATTCACAAAGAACAATAGACCTCATGCCAGGTAGGTCTTCGAAGAATCAAGACAGCTTACTAAATTTGTAATTGCTTGTCAGCCTATAAATGTTTATACTAATTGTGATTTGTCTTTTTGGATAGTTACGAACCTGAACTTCATCCTGCTGTGTGCTATCGGATAAAATCTCTAAGAGCTACGTTACAGATTTTTTCAACAGGAAGTATCACAGTAACAGGTATTTTATAATTTGAAACCAAGTGAGTCAGACACTTAACCCACTGAGCCACACAGGCGCTCCAAGAGAATTCCATTTCGTAAACTTCATCGAGGTTTTACATAAGCAAAATATTCATATAGATGGGTACCTGTCACGTATCATGATTTATCATGTCTTATGTGTATTTTGTTATATATCTTTTGAATCCTGAGTATTTGGAAGAGGTGGTTTCAAAGACCAGGCATGGATGTCAAAGGACAGCAGTAGCACACAGAACGGTTTTTAACAGCACTGTGCTTATAAATTGTACGGAGACATCACTTAGGAGTTAGGCCCAACCTTTGACTAAATTGAGTTCAGGAAAATTTCTTTGGTGTCCTTGAATTTTTCTTTTTATTCCTTTAGTCCTTAACAGAAAATACACATTCTTGACACCTTTAGACGCTGAACAAATAAGTTTTAGTTTTGACTCATTCTATGGGTTTTCACATCTTCCTTGGAGACTTTTAAAGCCTACTGCCAGGGTCATGCCTGAATCTTAAAATGGAATGGGAACAAATCCATCTCTTCCCTTCTTTCAACTGTCTTTTTACATTTTGGAGCGTAGGCTTCTGCGGAGCCCCAAGGTCTGTGGATAAGTCCCTATTAATTTAGAGTTTATGATGCATAGGTAAAATCTATATTTGAGTTAATAGGTAACTTAACAACATAACAAAGTTGAAGACAGTTGGGTTAGTTAGTATACATTATATATTTACATCGGGAACATCCTATGAAATGTTAGTGAACAGGTAGTGAGTGGTTCCCATACACAAAGCACTATCCTCTGTTGGGGAAGGAATCAGGAAGGAGCAGACCCTGATAACACGTGGTCAGTACCTTCAGAGAGTTCACAGTGGGTACAATATGTATGTTTTTAAGATCTTTCAGAAGAGTTAAGTGTACATTAGTGAAACCATTTTTATTAAAATGTTTTATGAAAATATCTTCTTTTAATGTTTCTTTTTAGCTATTTAAATGAAAGATTAAATTTTTTAAAAGCTAGTTATTCCTAATATTATATGTATTAATTCATATGTAGCGTCACCTCATTCCCGTGTGTGTGTGCGTGCGTGCACGCGCATGTATGCGCTTCCCTATTCACTGAGCAAGCTGTGCGGATGAATGGCCAGATTAGTAATAAACATGGTGGGGAGAGGGTAGTGAGTACTAATCTGTGGGGCCTTATGGACCATTTAGTTTGTAACAGCTCTCTGATCTCCTAGTACTTGGAAGCAGCTTTGTTGTACTTTTACTGGGTTCCTCAGTACTCCTGTGAGCACCAGAGGTGGCCTAACCAAAAGCCAGACTCCAGTGACCAAAAGGATAGTGACCAAAATGTCCACTCCATTTATCATTCCTGCCTTTACTCAGTATCTAACCGTGCTTAACTTCCCCTTGCTGTGTCACAATAGTCTGTGTGTGATTTTTATATACACCATCTTCACCCTGGGGCCCTGAAACAAGATGAATCACATCATTTTGTGTTTCAGATTTCCTCTAATTGTTCAGAAAAAAATTGTATTCTGTTGGATTTTGCTGTGACTGCCTAATTATGTAAAGTGTAGATCTTTTTAAAAACAACCCCATATTCTAAACCATGTGAATATTTTCAGTTCTGGGAAATTCGTGTTCCTGGCGCTCTTCTCACCCCTTCCTCTGTTGTGTTTGGTACAGGGCCCAACGTAAAGGCTGTTGCTACTGCTGTGGAACAGATTTACCCATTTGTGTTTGAAAGCAGGAAAGAAATTTTATAATTCATCGCTTAATTGGTTAGAATCCCTAACTGAGCACCTTTTAAAACCTGCTGCACATTGGACTCAAAACAGAAGCAAAACTGGACCAACAGTAATTGAGGAAATAGACTCTTTTATTCATTCACAGCTACGTGTGTAAGCTCCAGGCCCTTTGGATTTTATTTCAGACCTTGCTGTAATATAAAAAGGAAGTTTACAAGACATGACATTGCTGCTTTTACAAAAGGACATTCTATTTATTTTCGCAGTAATTCTCATGTCCCCGTAAGCAGAGCTGTCACAGTGTGCACTACCTTAAATTGTTCTGTTGTTGTCATTATTTTTTTTTCCAGTTTGAGCTAATGTGCTTTATTTGTGAATAGTCTTTCACATTTTTGTATGCTGAATATGGGCACCAAAGAACCTGTAAAAGTTATCTTTTTCAATTGAATGTGCACAAATAAAAGTTTGGAAAAGATCTCTCTTCATATCCATTCTGTAACTTTTATTCCCCATTTTCTATTTTAACAAAAATTGTATTCACAATTCCTTTTTTCTTTTTAATCTATGCAAGCTTAGACTTTTGCTAAAAGTGTGTTGGCTTCTTTTTGAAGTGTATTTTGTAAATATATATATGCCGCGTGTGTATAGTATCTTTTAATGCTCTGTTACCAAATATCAAATAGGCATTTTTTCCTCGCAGATTAGAAATAAAAATATGTATATAAATTCTAGGGAATGAACCGGAGTAGAACTGTATAGATTAAGCATAATGTTTTATGTTGCTAATTTAATATGATAGAACATGTTACATATCTTTTAAAAGTTACAAAATTGTAGTTTTAAAAAAGCAAAACCTCTTACCTATGAGATGGATGTGAGAAAGAAGCTCTGATGAGTTGTACCTCATATGTACTTTTGTGATTCTGGTAAGACTCAACTCTAGTTGTAGGAAAGTAGTAATCTTAGGTTGGTGTTCAAGGCTATACTAAGAGTCTTGTCAGAAGTTGATACATTGTGCTGTTTTAACAAGAAGTGCCCACAAGCTGCCTCTGTGCCACAGTATAATTATAATATAGTTCAACTTGAACTTGAAAGCCATTTTGCAAGATATGTTTTTCCCCTTGCTGTGTCTTATTTAATGGAGCTGAAGAGTGACTGACTACTCAGTATTTGGGATTGCTCCTCTTAAACTGACAATAAATATGCGTTTGTGAAACATTGGTCTCTGGCTCACCCGTGTGAGCCCTGGAATGGTCATGCACGATCGAGCTGCACTTGGGCTCCACGGCTGGGGTTTGGAGTTTAGTAGACCCAATAATGATGTCAATTAGAAATAAAGCTGAGTGGAGGAGGGTCCAGTTAGCTTCTCAGTAGAATCTTAACCAGAGGCAGTATTCCAACACAATCTTCCACTAAAACCTGAATTTCCAGAATGTTTTGAAAGCTTCATGAAAAATTGCAACATCTCAACCTCCATATTCGAGTACATTTTCCTTACCATCTTATAACGTCTTCCAAACCTCACTGAATTTACTGCACTGAACAATATACATTATTTTAGATTTATTTTTATCTCCTTTCTTCTCGATGTCTTTCCCTACCGAGCCTCTCACTCTTAAATGGGGGGCAAAGGCTAACTTATATTTTCTTTCTTGTGAAAGATTTAATTGTGGTTTTTCAAACTTCACCCCCTCTCTTTCCCTCTCTCTCTCTTCTTTACATTGTGTGTATCTGCTTCATGTACACTCCAGTAGGATAGGTAGATCTCATAAAATATATAGAGGATACAGTTCAGTGAAGAAGTCACAGGCTCTGGACAGACTTTTAAAAACTGAGATTTTCCACGTAGCTTTAATTTACAGTGATAAGTGACCTGTTTTGTAATGTTCACACACACACACACACACACACACACACACACACACACACAAGAAATGTAGAAAAGGGGGAAAAAAACATGACTATATGGCCAATGTGCAGATCCAGATGTTGTAATACTTTCAATATTTGAGTGACTTGAAAAGTAAGTGGATCAGTAGCTCATCAAAACGCTTTGTCAGAAAAGAGGAAGAAAGACAATCTATCCAGTTCAGGTTTCAAGGCTGCTGTGCGCATCTCCCGGCAAAGTGTCCTGGCTGACCCGCTGCACTTAACAAAGCTGGTAGGAATGGGCTCATCTGATGTCTTCTGCTGGCTCCTCCCAAGTGCTGTACATTTTTTTTTTTATAAATAAAAACTGTGAATATATACATACAAATTATAAGTATTCCCCCTTTTTTATTTTTGAAAACCAAAAAGCTCTGATTGGGGGCATATTGGGTAAAAATTTGTTTGAAGACTGAATTATTCAGTCACAGACTCGGGATAATAAAAGAAACATGTAAGAGCGTTTAAGATACTGATGTTGAAATGACCAGTGATAAACCGCCTAAATTTATGAACAATTTACTACCCATTTATGATGAATGGCTAAAAACAAATAGCTAATGTATATACTTTGAAGGAAACGTGTAACAGTTTTGATAAATATCTTACAATCTGTGATGCTTGGCAAAAAAATTCATATCAATTATCTGTCTTGACTTTAAAAAAAATCTCAACATATAATTCCACTGAAGATTCATAATAAATTTCTTAAATTGATCCTCTACAGAACACATTTTTCCTTCTCCTTCCAAAATACGAAATGAAAAACATGCTCTAACTCGCATGGGCAATGTGCTGTGGTAGAAGTAAGATCTCAAATCTCCTTCTTCATAACTTTCCCTGCCAATTTTCATTATGTGATGCATTTCAGAATCAGGACTTGTAGTTATTCTCCGGAGTCTCTCCTAGTACAGTTTCAGTGTTAATTACATAGATTGGTAGTCTCTCCGTTTTGTTATAGGGGAGTTACTAGGCTATATACCCTTCTGTCAAACTGGGGCAGTTTGTTAGGGGCCAGTAGGAAAATCCCAACCTAAATAACAAAGGGTTTTGGCTCTTAGGATTCTCTTTTCTTCAGGCCAATCATAATCTGTTACTCTTTCTCAAGTTCGGTTATTCATGCTTTACGTTTCTGTGTGCCTCCTGTAGCTTATAATAATAATTTAATGGGTTACTCCTTAAGTGGGTCAAGATTCTTTATTGTAGATTTTCTGTCGTCATATCCAAATTGGTAAAATGCCCCACCAAGTCCTAATACTCAAACTGGAGAAATGCAGAAGAGAGCAATTCATTGCTGTGTGGGTAAGAGCCCAGGTCTCTGGTACAGCTGATGGCCTCTGTTTCATCATAGAGAACACAGTGAAGGAATCGTCCTGATGTCTACATCTGCCGTCATCTGAAAGTCAGCATCAATGATAGCCATAACCTGAGGTAGTGATATTCCTGAGGAGTGCAAAGAGTGGCAGGAAACTATGGATTAAGTCATCATGAAAGCCTTACAAGGAGAGAGTTTTATAAGCTTGACTGAATAACTCAAACCTAATCAATTAGAGGTTTGGATAAATAACCTAATGGCCTGATTCCTTTCCTAATGTTTTACTAACAGTTACTACTAAGTATATATGGTCCCAGGATTTTAAAATTGTCTTTTCTATTCATATTTTTTTAAATGGATGGAAAAGTGTCCTTTTAATCAACTATTGCAGAATTGTTTCTTTTAATATTTTATAATACATAAAATTTATAAAAGTATTTTGCATTACACTGTTCATAATTCACAAAATAAGCTGCATAATCTTTGTACTTGTTGAACTATAATTAGGAATTATCACTGAAATCCTAGCCAGGATCCTAACCTAATCTAGAACATAGGTGCAATTGTCCACATGATGTCCTGGTTCTTTTGTGCAGAAGACCCAGTGCAAGTACTATCATCGTGGGCAAAAAAAACCTGTAAGCTCGTGTTCAGGCCACTCGTGTCTGGATAATAAAGCTACAACTGGCCTCTGTATGTACATACCTTAAGGCAGAAGTTGATCGCATTACTAGTTCATAGTTTTTCAAAGGTTGCTCTGTGAAAAAGGTGGAAAGCATTGAACCAGCCAGTATTTTTTTCACCTAGTATCCTACTCAGAGTAAGAGATCACTTGGCATCTTGTACCTCGTTTACCTTTTGAGAGGTGGACGTTAAAGGTTGTCTTTATAATTTTAGGGTGTCCCTCTAAAACTAGCTCGATGACCCTAAGGAAACAGGGGAGTGGCCAATATGTATTGGTACAAAGACACTCTTCTAATTGTTCTTATACTTTATCACCATTTGTAAGATTTGAGGCCATCAGATCTCCGGAGAAGGCTGCCTTGCTTGTCCGCTACCACACAGCTTTTTACACCCCCAGAGCTGCTCCTGGGGGTTTTCTTTTTTGAAGCTGTTTTGGCACTAATTCCTCTTGATGATGACTCATAAAACAAATGTTGTTTTTCACAAAGTTCCTGAAAGAGAAAGAGGCACTAATGAAAATGTCATTCTTAGTTTATAGTACTGGGGGGAGTGTGGGAAGGGTGTAGGCTATTAATTTTTTAAATCATTCTGGGGCTCTAATGTTTTAGCTAAGCAAAAAAAAAAAAAATGACATTTTCATTGTAAAACTTTGATGGATCCTGAAATTCAGCATACCGCAGAACTTTGGTCAATCTCATGCAAAGGGTAAAGTGGGGAGGGCGACTTCTCAGAACACAATCAAGGCATTCCTACCTGCAAAGTCCAAGGATTGTATTACATAGAACTACTGGAGATAACATCCCGGATCCTAGTTTATTTTCCTCCGCTTCTCAAACTCTATTAATACGCCTATATGTATATCTACATTGTCTGCCTTCTGCACTATCCCCTTGATTCTGCATTAATAATTTTTTTCTACAGGATTATTCTTACCAGGATAAAAATATTTTCTAGTATTTTATGCTTATTTAAAAATGAAATAAAGGGTTCCCTGGGTGGTTCAGTCGATTCAGCATCCGACTATGGCTCAGATCACGATCTCACGGTTCATAAATTCAAGCCCTGCATCAGGCTCTCTGCTGTCAGCGCAGAGCCTGCTTTAGATCTTCTGTCTCACTTTCTGCCTCCCCACTTCTCTCTCTCAAAAGTAAATAAACTTAAAAAAATGATTAAAAAAGAAACAGAGCCACCTTTGAACCTCCTCTTTCAAAGATCTTTTCCTGTAATTTAACCAGTTACTTAAGTAGCCACTATGCACCTGGTACTATGGTGGGTACTGAAGATACAGTGGATATAGACTCCTGCTTTCAAGGAGCTTACATTTTAATAAAGGAGATAGGCACATAAGCATATAATTTCTAGTAGTAAAAGTGCTAATGAGAAAAGCAAATGGAAAGGAAAAGAAGAATGAAAGTAGTTGGGTGAGAGGTGATTATCCTACTGCTGGCATAGCTCTAAAGAAGTGACATTTGATCAGAAACTAACAAGAAAGGAACCATGTAAGCATTGGAAGCACGATGTTTATGGATCAGAGCATGGCGAGTATACGAATGATAAGATGAGGCCGGACAGATAGGTGGCGGCCATAGTCAGAAGTCTGCATTTTATTTGAAATGTAATTTGAACCATAGGATTTTGAGCTGAGGAATGACATTTGTAAAAGATCAATCTAACTGCCCTGTGGAGGACAGACTGTAGAGGGCCAGGGCTGGAAGACCAGTGCGGAGGTTAGTCTAGTCCAGGTGAAAGATGGTGGCTGGAACTCAGAATGGTACTGGCAGAAGGTGTCAGATTCGTGGTATGTCTTGTTAACAGAATTAAGGAGACTTAGTGATTAGTATGGATGTGGGGCATAGTGATTATTGTGGATGAATCCTAAGCATCTGGCTTGAGGAGCCCCTCCCCACAACCCCCAGGCAGAAGGCTTATGGAAGAATGTGCGTGCATTTGGGTGAGTGGGACTGAAAATCAAGAGTTCTGTGTAGGTGATGTTAAGCCAGAGATGCCTATTAGATATTCCATCCAAAGATGTTAAGTAAGCAGTTAGATTTGGAAATTTGAAAGTCGGGTAATAGGTCAAAACCTGGAGACAGACATGTGGGAGTCATCACTTTATGGATGGAATATAATACCTTAGGGATATAAGAAGTAAATGTAGATATAGATCTAAGGACTGAGTCCTGGGCACTACTGTTTTTAAAGGCAAAGAGGAGGAGGAGGAGGACAGGAAGGAAGCAAAGGAGACCAAGAAGCGACTAATTGAGGTAGGAGGAAAATCAGGGAAGGGTGAT